CCCCCCCCCCCCTCCGGCACCATCCCTGCCGCCGCCGTGCCGTGCCGTCGCCAGTCGTGCCCGCACCTCGCCGCCGAGCAGACCGTCAGACCGACCGTCATCTCGCTCCGCGCGAGCAACAAGTAGTGGGCCAACGCGACCCCCGGCCTGGAGGGCAGGCCTTTTAAATCCGTCATTAGTCGACGGTAGAGCGTCCGTTTATTAGCGTGAGTGTTGTTTCCCCGTTCTTTTCTTGTTGTTTTTGTTTTGTTTGGCCTTTTTTGGTGCCAGTGTGTGCAGTAGCGGGGTGTGTTGTCGTTCCCGACTGCTGCTGTGGTTTTTGTTGTTGTTGCTGTTGTTCACGACGTTGTGATGAGCGTTACCGCTGACCCGACCCCTTCCCCCTACCCCATCACTGTCATCTTGCTTTTTTCTCCCTGCTGCTGTTGCTCCTGCTTTTGTTGTTTTTCCGCCCTCTTTGTTGTTTTCTGTCCGAAACAATGGCGCCCGGAGGGGGAGCAATACGAGCCGCAGCGCGCGGCAGAGGAGAGATGGAAAGAGAGAAGCGAGAATTTTAATTATTTTTTTTTCCGCGAGATGAAAAATAACAATTATAATAATAGAACTCCCGTGTTCTCTTTTCTGTCTTTCGCAGGGCGGCGGCTGCGGCAGCTGCGGGCGGTGCGGGGAACGCCAGCGGGGGCAGCGCCAGGACCACCAGGACGGCGGCGGCCCGGGGCCCCGCGGGACGGCGTCCAGGACACCAAGACCATCACCGCGGCGGCGTCGCGCAGTGAGGCAGGGCGGCTGACGCAGGCGCTCCAGACGCCATGGCGCTCAAAGGGTAAGTCAAAGTGAAAAAAATATACACAGCAGAATTTTTGTTTTACAAAAGCTAGGGATTTTTTCGGACTGGGTTATAAGTGCTGTTACACAAGAAAGTGCATAACTCACTTGACTTGTGTTTTAATTGTCTGTGAGTGGGGTGAATGTCTCCTATTGCTGTCGGGGGTTGCGAACCGTGAAACACGCCAGGCTGGCTTTCTGAAAGGCGCAGGCGCTCCCTCCCCCTCCCGCTGGTAGGGGTAGGTCCCCCCTAGTGACCCTCTCACTGCATAATCCCATTAGCTACCTGACTAGATCGCGACCTGTCGCGGGGCGGGGCGGGGTAGCGTACCGTTGTGGGACGGAGCCCCTCCTCAGTCGGATTCAAACCAAATTCAAACACTGAAAGGTTGCAGGGTGGTTGTGGTGGCGAGGTATGGGTCCCGAGGTGACCGCGGTGGGGTCCTTGCGTGCGTCCACCGGGGTCTAGAGCGAGGATTGCAGCACTCTTTGCTGCAATCCGACCAGCTGTATCTAAGCGCCGTTCTAACCCCCCGAAAGTGTGTGTGACGAGCATGTCCCTTTAGTATGCTAGCGCTACACTCTTTGGTGATGCCGACGAACTGTCGCGCTGTCACACCTGACACACCATATCGAGCGAGCGAGAGACCAGACACGAGAGACAGTGGTGGAGGAGGCAAGGGGGCTGCTGCTGTGCGATGGGAATGGACATGGAGAAATTAAAAGTGAGCGGAGCAAAAGAGGGGGGGCGAGGGGGTGCGATGCGGGTCGTGTTGAGGCCAAAGCCAACCAAACCGCTCGTGCTCCCGGCCGCAGTGGTGGAGCAGCGGATGGGGGTGAGGATGGGGGTGAAGTAGGGTGGGGTGGAGCACCACCTGCATGACGCCCCCGCCCGCGCTGGCCCGGGGCACCACCGCCG